GATGTTGCTTTTAGGAAACAAAGTTGCAAAAACAATTAGAATATTATTGTACAACACAAACCACCTTACCTGATTTCAAAATTCAAAAACAGGTTGACTATTCAATATAATTTTGCACCTCTTAAATCAATTCCCACGCCTCACTGTATCAATCAAGAGACAAGACGACCATTGAACTTCTTTGTGCTAGATTTAGAAACAACAGGATTTTCTCCAAAATGCAACTCCATAATTCAATTGCAATGTTATCATTATTTAGTAATGAATTACATTCCATATTTGTATCCCTAGTGGTGTGTGGAGTTCTATTGCATTACAAATGCACGAAACTAAATTTCAGATTTTGGATGAAAGTGAAACATTGCAAAACATGATTCCTAAAATTTGTAATATTTGACTAGGAATGACACTGCTGATGTGATGTTGTTGGTTCATTCAACTGGTTTGGACAAGGCTTTCTTTAGTGCTGCAATTGCACCACTTAAACTCCGATCAACAATTTACTATTGTTCTACTATGCAAAAAAACTTGCTTGGAAAAAAGGGATTAGAAAACCACTTTAGAGAAAAAGTATGTGACTCTCTTCCCGGAATAGCACATAATGCCGTTGTGGATGTGCTTATGTTGTATGATTTGCTGTTGTCGAAGTTTGGGAACGATCAAGAAATTGTGAAGGCCATCGGAAAAGCAGAATGTACAACAATAGACGACTAGGAATTCCACTGATGGTTTGTTCAGTTCGATGAATTGTTTTCTCTGTTTCCTACTCTGGTTTGCGTGTTGTTTTGTTGAAGTGAAGAAACTTGCTGATGTGGTTGTGTTGATCACTCAGCTTCTGCCAGAACGTTTTGTTTGCTGTAGGCATTTTTTTTGGTTGGAGATGTTTATTTTCGTGATGACACTTGAGTTCGTCAACGTCGCCAAGAATGGTTGGGTATAGGCTGGTTGCCTACGCTTTGGCTCACCCTCCCTGGTAATGTTAGAACCGGTAGAAGAACCAAGTTGGTCATTCCTAGTTAAATGAAATAATTGATGCGAATTCATATCGTTCTCCGTGTTCATTATTGGCGTTTGAGGAACATCTTTCTTGAGTCTAATAATCTTGGTTGGGGTGTAGATATTGTCATGGTTGTAGTAATTGCTGTTATTGTGACCACTCTGAATGGTATTACCATTACCGTTCAGTTGAACGTTAAAGGCTTGATTGTTAAGAATTGGCATGGATTGATGGTGTTGATGTGATGATTTGTTGCGTGGTCCTGAATAGTATTCTTGAGGGAACGAGAAGCTCTGAGCTCGAGCCAAGTGCTGAGGTCCTTGACGTTTGGGGCTTACCGAATGGTCTCCTTGAAGAGAGGTGTTTGCTTTGGTCGGATTCATCATCATGTCGATGTTGTGCTGTTGTTGCTGATGTTGTTGTTGATGTTGTTGGCCACCAACTGCAGACGTGGAAATTGATGTTTGAACCATACATATGGTATTCCTTCTCTTGAGATTGCTTTCAGGATTTTGAGAGATGGACTTTTCATTGTAAAAGTGTTGAGCATGATTCAATTCGCTCTCTATTTCATCATCGCTATTGGGAGTTGGCTCTGATGAGGCTGTACTTGCTCCCTTACGCTTCTTGGTTTTGAAAAAGAAATAGTTGGATTGAAATTCACTATTACTCCTAAACTGCTTATTCACTTTCAACAACTTGTCGCCTTTGAATTGAGTCTTGAGCTTGACCTCATCTGTAAGATCAACAATTGCAAACTTGTTGGAGGAATTGTTGGCGTCAGTGAGAGAGGATGATCCTTGCAGAGGAAGAGGTGCTGTAGAGGTACTGTTGCTGTTGGCATGGACAGATGCTGTCGTTTGTTGTTGTGGTTGGTGGTGCATTTCTTTTGATGCTCTTGGTGTGTTGCACTGCATTTGTCTTGCTCCAAATGTGCACTGTATGATACCAGTCTTTCATCAAAATTCAACCCAAATCGTTTTGCACATTTCAGAGCACGTGAAATCAGACAAAAAAATTCAAAGTCCATTTTAGAACGAGGGCTCCCAAGTTTATGACAGAGCATGAAAATGTTGAAACGCTGTCGAGCATTTTACCAATAATATCTTCGGTCTGATCGAACAATGTAACATCATACCTACTGTGTAGAACGAAACATACCATGAATAGCACCATCCCATAAAATGGCCCTTGACTTCTAAATTCAAAAAAACGACGATTTGAACTATGTGTTATTTTGTCCTGAGGATGATGCATGACAGAATGGCCGCATTACTTTTTAGTATTCACATCAGTCATAGACATCGTATTGGCTTGTTCCTGTACTTTTGTCGGAAGACTCTCTGTCTCTTTTCTGTTATCAAAATCTTTTTCTTCCATTTTCTTTCTTATGGTTCTCATGTAGGACTGTTGAGTTCTGGGAGGAATGTACTCTTCGCCAACTCCTTTTTTGCCGTCATTTCCAACTCTTGTAATACCCTCTGAGGTCATTACTCGGTATCTGTTATTTTGAACTCCTCTGACTCGGGCATCTTCAATTTCTTTCATTCGAGCTGCTTTCGATTGTGCTCCACTTTTAATGAATGAGGAGAGGCCTTTAAATACCAGATAGATTGCAGCTGCATAAGCAACATAGGTCAACAGCTTGAATCCCAAAGCTATTGCTTTCACTGGTGTCATTCCATTCATCTTGATATCATAAGCATGAGCGAATATAAAAGGTGAATTTAAAAGTATTTTCTTAACAAATTCAGGTTGGTCCTTAAAATGGTTATTGATTTCATTTTCTCGGTATCTTTTCTCTTTTTCTAGTCTCTGCTCTTTTCTATGCTTATTCATTAATCCAATAAATGTTGTATGCTCTGAGTCAGTAAACCACGTTCTCTCTCCTCTTTTATATTTTTCTAATCGAGTTAAAAAGTCATCATCGTTGAATGGGAAAACGTCAAATGGGTTGTAGTGTGCTCCACTTCCGAAAGGATCTTTGCCCCAAAATCCTTTTGGATCCGAAGATCCTGTTCCTTGGAATGGTCCAGTATTTGGATCTTGTACGCTGCCTTTTTTAATTTGAGCATAGGCTGCGTTAATTTCAGCCATTTTGTCTTTGGCCTCTTCTGTTTTGTTTAAATCTGGATGATACTTTTTGCTAAGTTTGATATATGCCTTTCTGACCACGTCTTCACTTGCTCCAAATTCACATCCAAGAATTTCATAAGGATTTGTTGATGCCATCATGTTCGAAATGTTGGAGTGAAAATATCTTGTTGTGCTTCCAAAATTATGGAATAAATTATCGGAAGTAATTTGTGTGGATATCTTGTAATTTATCGCATGTTTTAATGAAAATGAAATCGTTGTTGGGTCCCGAGAAAAAGGCCGGGAGTTGTGTGAAATAAAGCGGCGACAACTCAAAGCAAACATTTTTTAGTTTTGGGTTTTAATCCGACGTAGGTCGATACTAATTCTTTTGTTCATCATTGCAAGCTAATGATGTTTCTTACAACATTTTCACAAATACGAAATGTGTGTCAACTCCATTCTCCGTCCTTATCCAACATTCTGTTGTTACAGGACATTTTGACCATCATTGTAAAATCAAGTACTCGGTTGACTAAAGTTTTTTAAAAAATTCGTTTGAAAAAAATACGCCAAAATTTATCCTCCACCATGCAAAACGACCAAGGACAACAAGTCGATTATTATCACCCAAGAAAGTGGTACGTATAAATTTCCGAACTTTTAGCAACGATTAACACAGATTTGAAACTATGTAATATTATGAAAATACGACGTTCGAATCATTTAGTACTGCCACAAAGAGCTTGATTACTGCCAAGGATCACGCTTCTGTCCAAATCACAATTGGATTGGTTGACGAAAATGGAGTCTACACTGGATCAAACACTTCAGTTTCATTGTGCGGTGAATTGAGAATGAAGGCTAAGTCTGACGGAGCAATGAACAGACTCATGCTCGAACAAAAGATCATGAAGGACATCCAATAAATTCTCTCATAAATATTTAATTCTAAATGCTGTCAGTGTTTCGTGTCAAATCTCATGAGTATCGCCACCTTCGAGCCATATTTGCACAATGAGACCTCTTTCAGCTCTTATAAAAATGTCTTCACCTGCTCTACCAAGAGAGGGTAGTTTGGTTAACGGGAATCCGTCATTCCACCCCAAATACCTGTCGGATCTTTGCAAGATAAATATTAGCAAAGACTACAATTTGCAAATTGTGAGCATTGTAATTTGCTTTCTAAGTATCATTAGTTCTGTGTTTGTGTTTCTTGGCGTGGTTCTGTATCGGAAAGAAACCAAATCACCTCGTTTGAATATTTTAGGGTGAGTAGTTCTGGGTGCAAGCAATTATTGTATGACCATGGATCGGAAATTAATTCATGAAATACCATTGTACAGTGTGATCAACATTTTTGGATTTATCTATTGTCTTTGCATAGAAGTGGAATCAATTATTATAACGTTGTGTATGTATTTGTATGGAAATATGAATGATTATTTTGTCAATTGCAATTACAGTGGGAAATGTCACATATATTTATCCTCTTTGTCAAATTCAAGCATTCATTGCGAATAGTTCATCGTTATGCTTAAACACGTTTTCGTTATGTTTGACATTTTTCCTTTTTTATACCGTTATTGTGAGCAACCAGTACAAAAAGCTAAAATCACTCTATCATCGATTATTAATTGGAATTTTGGTTGTTTGTGCTTTGATTTCAATTCCGTTTTTCGTTTTTATATTTCCCATACCTGTGCCTGGAACTAATAGATACGCTGAGCTCTATGGAAAATCTTCAAAACTCTGGTGTGATTTCGCAAATACTCCGTCACACTTAATCAACACCTCATCAACAAGTTTTCCTAGGACATTTGAGAAAAATTATTTAGGATACGATAGCATACCTTTGATCAACAATCCATTTTCTCTTTTAAGGAACTCAAGCTCTGATCCTGTCGAATCATATTGGGCTATTTTCTTTGAAATTGGCTTTTTTTATATTCCAAACACCTTGATCTTAATAATGTAAGTGTTATTAATACTCAACATGTGCGACACAAATCAAAATTATCCACATGTACTACATTAGTAATATTTTGCTCTTTGTTGTGATTATAGTGAAAATTAGGAAGAATTCAAAAATGTTGCAAAACCATCAACTAAGCATATCTGTGAACAACACTTCCATTAAGCCCTCAATATCAACCATATCCTTAGAAAATGCGACAGACTCTTCTCCATCTCTTCCGATACGAAATCCTATTCGATCCAAGATGAATTCAACAAGTCCCTCCAGCAAAAAGAGCTTACCATCTGGGTCAGTGGGAAATTTCGAATCAACATCATTCAATGAAAATCAAGATTATGAAAATCAAGAAATTGTAGATGAAAACAAACCTCTTCTCGCAGTCAAGAGAAAATTTTCAAGCAATGTTTCGCTGAATGCCCTCGGTAAAAAACAAAATTCCTCTACCTCTCTGCAAGCCATAGCTGTTCAAAATAATTTACAAAAAACAGCAACTATTCAGCCTATTCAGAGCTCTCAAACGTATAATTCATTTTCATTCTTGATGTTTGGAAATAACATCAAGTATTCAACATTAACACAAAGAGATATTGATGAGTATATTCAATTTTTACATTCTCAATCGAGAACAGCTCTTTATTATATCGCTGTATTGACAATTAATTGGATTGTTTGGATAGCATCTAGATTGTGTTGGGTAAGTTGGTGAACGAATATCAATATTAATCATTTCTTTTTTCCAGGAATTCATACAATGTCAATCTTCTGATAGTACCTCCATTGTTATTTTTGTGCTCTTGTCCATTGCAGAACAATGTAGTGGTCCAAGAATGAGTTCCATTCTGTTGAGTATAATATTTGGAATTTCAGAAGATACAGTCTCTCCTTCCAATCTAGCAGACATGTTACAAGACGTCACATGCTTGAGATATTTCACGACTTATTGTGCAGAAAGAGATAATCCAACCCAATCCAATGAAAATGACAGAGAAGTGAACATGGCAGAATATGATAACTTGGTATTCTTTTGGTTTGATATGTATCAACTAAAAGCTCTCATACTACAGAACGACAAGGAAGGGGAAGAAAGGAAAAAGCAAATTTCTGAAGCAGTATTGGAAATTTGTGACAAGTACTTCTCAGAAACATCCTTTCTCAAAATTAATTCTGACATTATCTCTAATCGAGACAAGAATCATATTAGAACATCAATAATGAGATATATCAAAGGGACTTCTCACAACGAAAATGATGATGACTACTCAGATAGCGAATATTCGGAAAATGGAGACGAAGACACCTCATCCACCATTTCTGAAGTGGTTGATAACAACTCAACCATTCCTAAGGAAGATTTGTTTTTGCTTAATCTATTGAAACATCCCTTAAAATCAACTCTTCGTAAGATGAACGAATTACTATTTGAATTTAAGACAAGCCCTGCCTTTGACGAATTGATTAACGTGCTGAGAATGAAAGCAGTTTCTCAGAGAAGAAGCTTGTTCAAAGATATTCTTTACAAACTTGGACGATTATTGTTGCAATGTTTGGGAATGTGTCAAGTTTGGTGTCCAAGTTCGCACGATCCAAATTCTATCAGCGGGTATGAATCTGTCACTGAAAATGAAAAGAATCACATGGATCATATGGATGTTCAAATTAAGGATTTATGGTCTTTGGATTATTCAAAAGACGTATTTGAGTACATCGATCGCGTCAAGAGTTTAAAGTTAGATAATCGAATATTGATGAAATTCTAAATTTTCAAGTGGCAGTTTTTACAAGACTCTTAAATGAGTGGAAGAGTATACAATCGCTGTTTGCTCAGCAAAAGTGGCACCCTCTGCACTCATTGACGACTTAGCAATTCAGTAACTCGTCAAAGTATGGATGCTTTAATGCGTCATGAGCACTAATTCTATGAGCTGGGTTGATAGTAAGCATTCGAGCCAGCAAGTCCAAACCAAGAGCATCTTTTTCGAAAGGTGTTCGAAGAAATTTTGAGGCAAGTAAATTGCCTTTCCACTTGGGAAAAGTGTTTCTATAGTTAGGAAGATTAACAATGCCACTATCCTCATTTGGCGTTCCTAAAAGTTGAAACACTTTAAATAAATGATCAATTTCAGAATCACTTGGAAATAGAGGAGTCAACGAAACAAGTTCTGCAAAGATACATCCGACTGAATGAGAGTTTCAGGGTCAGTTTGAAAGAGAATGGTCAAAATATTACTTACTTGACCACAGATCTACTGCAGTAGAATATTTGTTTGCTCCAAGCAGCAATTCAGGGCATCTATACCACAGAGTAATCACCTCTTTTGTTAGTGTTCGAACTGGAATGTTAAATTCGCGTGCTAATCCAAAGTCTGCTAATTTGACATTTCCTTCACTGTCGATTAGAATATTTTGTGGCTTGATATCTAGAGAGGATTATTAAAGCATTGCTCACCATTACATACCTCTATGAAGTACTCTATTTGAATGACAATAAGCCAAAGAATGAATCATTTGAAACATGTACTGTTTAACAGTAATGGGAGGAAAATATTGCTTTTTCTCTCGTTGCTTATCAATCACAGCTTTAAGGTCGCTATCCACAAACTCGAAAATCAAATTTAATTGATTCGAATCATGAACCACCTCATACAATCTGAATATTACAACAGCATACGGGTTAATCATGCGTTCCTGTTCTTGAACTACTTACTTGACAACATTAGGATGAGAAAGTTGTTTCAACAGCGCAATTTCTCGCAATGTTGTGGACGGAACTCCTTCCTCTTCTCTTTCAAGCCTAATTCTTTTGATGGCTACCATCTTTCCTGTGGTGATATCAATGGCTTTAAATACTACTCCATAGGTTCCTTCTCCCACCTTTTCAATGACCTTATATTTTGCCAACTTGTTGGAGAATGTAAACGTTTGTGGTGGCTGTTGAATGCTATCTCCGTTAACTGGATTTTGAATTGCTGTTCCGCTGATGATATTTCCACAAAATTGTTATTGATCCAAAGCACAAATCACACATTAATCCATGGTTTTTGAACACCAAATGTTTCAATGATAAAATCAAGATGAACATTTCAGTAATTTGCATCTTTTCATCATCACACCACGGTCGGAATGAAGTACTCACCCCACACTCACACGCTCCATTTTTATTTTCAATATTTGAAAAGCGGGTTTTTCTTGGGAGACTCACACAACACAGAAAAATGACAGAACAAGCACAAGAAGAACCAACCATCATCGAAGAAGAACAAGCACCCAACACTACTTCCGAAAAATCAAACGCTACAAGCTCATCTTCTCCGATAACGACATCTTCATCAGATTTAAAGAACAGTGGTTTGGTAATTCCAACCACCAAGAAATCAGCAGCATACGAGGAAAAGGAATTCATGTATCCGGAATTGACTGAGGAGGAGGCACCAAGTGATTTTTCTTCAATGTTATCTTTATTTTGTGGAGTTCTTGGACTCATGTTGAAGATGAAATATGTTTCTTGGCTTGGAGCATTATTTTGCATCAGTGGCCTGTATAATTTGAAGTACTCCGAGATGGATTTTAAGCAAACAGCTACAAGTGTAATGTTTTCAGTGATGGGATTGATCATGAATTATTTCGGACCTGCAGCTCATCAGCCATAACTTGATTACAACAAATTTTATTATTTAAATTATTATGAAGATTATTTTCCAATTTAATTAATTAAACTAATTTTGAACGGAGGATGTTTATTTTGCTCTACAAATCAACTGAATGAACTTTCTATTCATTGTCAAACCCTCACCTTTGTTTTCAACAACCTTATCTACATATTCGCAAGTAATTATCTCAAACTTGTCCTCATCAAAAAGAGATTTCAAAGAGTCAATAGAAAAGAAATAAACCAAAGTACCATCTCCACGAACAAAGCATTCCTCGCTTAGTTGTTTCGTGTAGACATCTTTTTCATTAAGATATCGGTAATGTGCCAAATCATTGACAGCATAATCTCGAAAGAATAAAATACCGTTTTGAGCTAACAGTTCATATATCTTTGTATTAATGATCCGCTTCATGTCCTCCAAAGAGCTGAGGGCGCTGAGTACAAAAATCATGCTTGAATAATTGATAGAGCGAGGTTTTGGAGGCAAGTGACGCTTTAAAAACTCGTCTTGAGGCATATTCTCTGCCATTTGTGGTGTTAAAACGGCTCCTTCTGCAGAAAGTAAATCATTAACAAAGAAATGAACATTTGGCGAATCTCTGTATTGCTCTCGCAAAATTTTAACAGCGTGCTCAGAGCAATCAAATCCATAAATTTCCATTTGACTCGTTGGATTAAACTGTGGATTCACTGAATGTAAATTGGCCAAAATACCATTAATCGTATTTCCACATCCACAACCTATTTCACAAAAATTAAATTGTTCATTTCTTTCAATCGCCTGTGTTAACTGGACATATTCCCGCAACATCCATTGCCTGTTTTTAAAGAATTTATCTTGATTAACTTTAAAGAATTTATCCCAATATTTAGCAATATTATTCACATAGTGATTACGGGCATATTCACTCATTCCTCCTCGCTCTCTGCTTCCTTTCCGGTGCAACATCCCTTTAGTGTACGGGAAATAGTTTTCTGTATCGGGTACAAATGGCAAATTTTGAATATCAAACCACACGTCATTATTCCAATTCACTCTGCGTCCGTTGTTGTTGGGAGATTGCAACATTTTTTTTAATATTATAGCATCCAACAAACGAAGAAGTTACGTTTACGAGTATCTGTTATTACTCTCGTTCACATGAAAACCAAGTAACTTGGTGATCATCATGATCCACAACTTTGGAGTTGTCGACAAGCAGCAAGTTTTTTGTAACTAGACCCAAAATATTTCTAAAATAGGCCCAAAAAAATTACAGCAACACAAACAAAAAAATGGCAGGCACAAAGATGCATTTTCACGGTGTTTCAAGAGACTTGTTGACCAAGTGGAAGAAACCAATCATTATTGGACTTGCAGCTGAAATCACTTTGATGTGGGGTATTTATGAAGCCTATTACTTCAACTACAACATGAACAAGAACAAGTATGCCAGCGTATGTATTTTTAACGGAATTTAATTTTTTTGATAATTCGTGATGATGTCAATTTGTGATGATTCAAATACAAAACAACAACAATAGTATTTGGAAAATAGACACAGAGGTTTGAAGCCACCATACGAAGTTGACTACAACACCTCCTCCGGATCAGTCTACAAGGTTGATTGGAAGAGCTTCAGAGAAGATGTTCAATAAATTCCTTCCTAGCAAATAAACACGGGTTACCCCAACACAATCTCTAGGGTTGTTTTGTATATTAAAAACGTTCATCATTTACTGGTCTCTATTGTCATTGGAGGGTGTTATCTTTTTTCCTTTCTTGGACGATTCCTCAATCGTCAATTATTGAGAGAAAAACAGCCCACGTTTACGCACCGTTAGTGTTGTGGCACGTGTGTGATTATTGAGGAAATTGAAGGAATCATTTTCGAAAACGAACATCTGCTTCCGAGAGCTCTTTGCGAAAACAACAGCGTGTTCAACTCCAGGAATGATTTCAGGTTCACTATTTCAAGTCCATGTTCTCCTTTCCCATCAACACTTTCAACAACCAAAAAAAACCGCACATACGCTTTCACTCTCTTCTTACATCTGCTACATTTGCAACAACAATGAGCTCATCCAACAACTCCTCATCAGATGATCAAACATCTCCTCCCTCCTTCTATGAAATTTCCGATGAACAACTTCAACAATGTGTTCGTAAAGCAATCATGAAAGTACTTCCTCAACTCATTGATGACGAGGACATTCTCGATCATGTTGTGAATGAATTGATCAATGACAATGTCAATATGCTCTCACAAAGTGGTGCCATTGATTTTGATGACGTTGCTGCTAGTGCCTATGATCATATTAAATCATCAGCTACCAAATTATCCTTTGCTGCTCTTTCCAACACAAAGGGCGAAAAGAAGCAACAAAGTCAAACGCTCATCATTAATATTCTTTCCGAACATTTAATTAATTATGACGTGAGTGACGATGATGAAGAAGAAATTTCTCAAATTTGTCACGAAATTCAAGAACATTTCCGAAATATTCGACTAGGTCAATATGCAGATTATGGTGTGAACATTGGTGATGCTGATGACGATGATGGTGCCTATGTAGAAGATGGTTGTTGTGTCATGTGTGAAAGAGAAATGAAACTCACTCGACACCATTTAATTCCTAGAACTTGTCACAAAAAGTATCTCAAGAGAGGTCAATACACCAAAGACCACTTGAATAAGTGTATTCTAATTTGTAGAGTATGTCATGATGCTGTTCACTCATTCATTTCACTGGATGATATGGCTGAACATTATCATACACTCGAAACAATTTTAAGTCATCCAAAGGTTCAACGATGGATTCCCTATGTTTCCAAGCAACGAACAGGAAAGAAGTTTAGATTCTAAGATGTTTTGTCATTAAGCACTTTTTCGCTCGAAGATACATTGCCAAAGAGCTTTACAAATAAAATTTGTTGACAACGACAGACTGTATTGAATGAATGTTATAACACCAATCATTTAGAATGCAAATCTACCATAATCATGATTAAACATAACCAGTCCATACGTCTCTGCCTATGCCGCATTCCTCTACTCCTCTTAAAATCCAAAAGAATCCATCAATTCCCCAAGCTATGATATGTTAGTTGTAGTTTTTGATCGTAGATAGTTAATTATTTAAACTCATGATGATTTCCATATAACATAACATTCAATACTTACATGGTCCCCATGAATTGGCACAAATCCAATAAGGTTTTCTACTTTCAGAGTCAACTCCCCAACCAACAATCTTAATGGCATGTCCTCCTACCAAACCTCCGCTCACATGGTGATAAACTCCTGATTTGTACTGAATAATCAGAAAACATAACGTCAATCCAGTATGGTTCCAAAATTTCACACAAATTTCGAAATGACAAACGTCACAAGAAGCAATTTAAGGTAACAACAATCTAGAAACATGTGAATAATAATACTCACAGACATAAAATCTCT